AAACATCCTAAGCGATATATAGCTAAGGAGACAGTTGTAGGTGAGATAGGGTTCATTTGGCTACTTAACACCAATACCACTTGGCTTTTATGCTCTTGTTTCCCAAAGGCGCTCCCTCGCCGCCAGGCTTTCCCCACAAAACCTCATGCCCATCAGGCATCCACCCCCTCACCTTCAGGGCATTTCTCCCCTCAGGTCCCCTGCACAGTGCCGTGCATGTTTGTCTACCTTCCCAGGCTGGTATTCCTTCCCCCTATGGTTTTTTGTCCAAAACACCATCAGTCTACCCAGTGAAACGGAATACCCACCAAGAGGAGGCTGCAGATTCGCAACAAGGAAAACCACAGATGCCCTGGTGGTCTCTGACCCCACATCTGAACCCCTCCTGGGGACCCAGAATACCTGCAGGGGGTGGTGGCGTCACAGAGGGCTGAGGTCCTCTCGTGTGGGGATAGGGCAGCACCAACCCAGTGCCAAAGGGGTGAGGTCATGTTAATTGTTGGCAATGTGATGCCAGTAGGTCACTCACCCTCTTAAGCTTCAATTCCCTGTCCACGTTCACTTCCTTACACAATCTTCCTTGGGAGGGTCCTATGGGCTGCCTGTTGTGAAACGCCCTTGTACATAGCAGAGCCTCCTGCAAGTGGGGCCAGGGGCCTCTGGATATCATGAGACCTTCTGGAGCCCCCTGGAAGGGCCCTGGCCTCGCCCCATCCTGACAGCTCTCTGCACTTATCATAGAGTTGCTTTTGGATTCCTGCATGCTAATGGGTTCACCTGTGTCAACATTATCTTTTCTAGGCAATTGCAAGAGCTTTAGGAAAATGGGCCTGCTTGGGTGAGTAGCTCCAATTACACGTGCTGGGGGACACAAAGCCTTGCTGACTGTTTGGTCCTTCACCACCATCATCATGACCACCACCAACCCTCTCCTCAGATAACCTGGCCAGAGAGAGGCCAGGAGTCTGCCCGGGACCAGGGACAGAGAAAACCCTTTGAAAGGTTGACCCTTGCCCATAGCTTCCTAGTCTCTGTATATCACCCTAATGCTAATATATCTGTAATTAATGTACTTTCATAATGTCCCTAAAGCCACACACGTCACACCCCCGGCCCTGATCTTCTTCCTTCAGTGACTCCAGCCTGTGCTGCTGCACCCCCAAAATGCCTGGATGGGGGAAGGAGGCTTGACGGGGCATGGCGGGCTGAGGGGCCTCTAACGGCCTACGTTCCCTGACAGGTTGCCTCATAGCCCGCCATGCAGCACGCCACAGACCACCTCCTCCATGCCCCTGCCCACTTACCACTCCTCCCCACACACCTGCAGGCCGTTCAACTGAGTGCTGCCTCTTCACCTGGGGCCTGGGGCTCGCTGCCCCATGCCCCTTGCCCCCCCGGCCACCCTGCCCTCTGCATCCCCGGGCTCTTCCCTGTCCTTGGGGAGAGGACCGAAAGTCTGTTCTGCACTGTAACCAGTCCCTTCCCATAGAAACGACCGTGGCAAGGTTCCAGAAGGACCCCCGAGCCTGTGTCTCCCCCTCAGTCCTCAGCCATTTCTAACTAGGGAGGCTCTCCCCCAAGAAATGGGGAAGCTGCCGGACGCCCCAGATGCCTTCCCGCCCCAGTCAGGGCTGCAGCCTGGATAGTACTTCCGTGAGGTGTGGACAGGCCCAGCCCTCTAGGAAGAGCAACCTGCAGGGTGAGGGCAGCCAGAGCGCACCATCTAGGTGAAGAAAAAGCACCCCCTCCACCTGGAGAATCGGGGGGTAAATTCCAGCCCCACTCAGCCTTCGGCCAGGGCCTTGTTATAAGCCATCAACTGCACAACCACAAGCCATGCCCCTTCCTCTGCACCTGCAGGTCCAGGGTGACCCCTTTAGCACCCCAAAGACAGGAAGGTGTCACAGCCTGGGTGTCCAGCCCTTTGAAAGCCCCGTTCTCTGCAAAGGGAGGGAGATAAGGACAGAGGCCAGCCACCTGAAGCCCTGCCTGAGGCCAGCACACACAGGGACGGCAGGGCCAGGTCTCACTCACCTGTCGTCGGCGTTGTCACTGTAGCAGTCACCCCAAGCCAGAGAGCCAGTGGCAGGATCTGGAACACCAGCATCTACCAGAGAGTGCAGGCCTGGCTGCAGGGTCTTCCTCATCAGGAGGGATCAAGAAATGAGCACCTCCCAGGGAGGGATCAGCTATAAAAAGGACCCTGGAGACCTTTGCCTTGGGAAGGACAGCGCCTGGCCCAGGGTGGGGGTACAGCAATGGGGCTTGGTGGGTGGCGCATGGTGACCAACGGGAATTGGTCAAAGGGCAGCCTGTCAACCTTCCTCCCCTCTAACTCCAAGAGAGCTGACCGCCCTTCAGCCAGGGTCTCTCCAGTGGAAGCCTGAGCCATGGGTGGGGCAGGGCAAGAGGGAGGGACAGGCGGCTGGAGTTGTAAGTGTGTGACAGCTGGCTTCCAAGAAGCCAGGGCCAAGAAGAACCAGGGAGACGGTGACGATGGAGGGAGGGGTGAAAGAGCCCTGGAAGGAGCAGTCACCGACAGGCCAGGCTGAGGGAAGGACACTCCGCCCCCACCCAGCCCCCTCGGAGGCCCCTCTTTCTTCCAGACTTCCCTTCCCATCATCCATCTCAAGCTGCCACATGCCAAATTTCCAGTGCCTTGCCCTGGGCCTCGGACCACCAGCCCTTCTCCTGGGTGGGGCTCACACCTGAGCCTTTATGATCCTGGTCTCCTCCCTGGCCACTGCCAGTTCCATTCCTGTCATGGGCAAAGGTCCCAGGGGCCTTTCCCAAACTCCCACCGAAAGAACCTCACTCCATCGGCCCCAACCTCCTTCAGCTCCCGCCTGACAGGCCTGGCTGCCAACTACAGTGGGAAGAGGAGAACCCAAAGCCTGGGCATGCAGGCCCTTCTGCCCGTGTGTGTCTGACCCCGGGACCCGGGGAGGTGAAGGTCTTTGGGGAGGCCCAGCTTACCCATCAGCGCAAATGGCAGCTGACCCAGCCTGGGCCACCCACCTCCCTGACCCAGCCCTGAGCTCCTGATGTCAAGGGGGAAGGGCAAGGATGACAAACCCAAGAGGGCTTCACCTTCTGCCAGTCAACAGTCTCTCCTGCCCCCACCCACTCCCTAAAAATCTGGGCCCCCCAATCTCTATGCTCCCTATGAAGACAGCAATGGTCCCTGAGAGCTGCCCACAGACCCCTCCCTTCCTCGCTGCGAGAAACAGGTGCTCCCGGGCCCCCCGCAACAGCTCCTCTGGATGTCCCTGTTCTCAACCTAGCGGAGGCACCAGCAAGTGAGACGAAGAAAGACACAGAGCAGCATTGTTTACAATAAATGCTATATTGTGTTCACATGGGAGAATTGGAGGATTGCAGAATTCCTGTCCCCAAATGAGACCTTCCTGCGAAGGAGGCTGAGGGCTTCTGGGCTGAGAGGTTACTGCAGGGATGGGGTGAGACCCAAGAGAGGAAGGGAGAGGAGGAGCTGGCAAGGGGGTCGGAAAGGGAGGTGAGGCAGTAAGGAAGGAGAGGGAGTTAGGAAAGGAGGAGGAGGGGGCTGAGGGAGCTTCCTCACCTCAGGGTCCCACTTCCCCTCATCCTTGAGGACCTGGAGAAATCCACACCCCACATCCCACCCCCACCCACGGGGATCCAGGGCCCTTGGGGGAGAGGAAAGGATGGAGCAACAGAAGGGGAAACTAAGGTCGGGGGAGTACCAGCTAGTGGTCCTAAGTGGCAGAGGGCATAGGGACAGGGGTCAGGGAGAGGGAGGAGGACTTAGGACTGGGACACTGGGATGGGGGTTAAGGATTTAGGGTGGAGGGGACAAGGATGGGGAAGTGGAGAAAACAGAAACAGGGAGAGATGTAGGACTGGGAGCTGGATAGGGGAGTGATTTAAGAAGGGGGGTTAGACGGGGAGAAGATATAAGGAATGCGGGAAGGGTCCCCCAGGGAGTTACCTTAGCAGAGGGTAGGAGGCAGGGATGGGCTGATGGCTGGCGACAGGTGTTGGGGGGCAGGTGGTAGGGATGCGCACAGGGAACTAGAGACTGAGGCCTGAGATGGGCAAAGGATGTGGGGACTGGGGATCTGAGAGAGGCCACATAAGATGAGGGCTGACACAGGAAGGTGCATTGGGACAGAGGTCTGAGCGACCACATCTGGTTTGCACAATGACTGTTCAAGGTATCAGGACAAGTATGCTATACACATTTTACAAGTTCGGAGAAGCTACTGAGTTGCCCAAGGTCCCACAGTGGAAGATCCTGGATTTGACCTGGGTCTGCAGGTGGGTTTCACCAAAGTTGAGAGGGTGCCGGTCTGGGGACAGTCTGATTTTGCCCAGGATTCCAGGAGGCTGAGCTGCACGCGTCCTTGGCCATCTCTTGAAATGGATGCAGAGCAGATGCTTCCTTCCCGCTGTCCAGGGCAGGTGGACAGGGTAGGGCAGGGCTCACATCGAGGACAAGTCCACCTCAGGTCTCTGGGTGTGCACCTGCCACAGAGCGCATGAGAGGGAGTCAGAACAGGAGCCACCCCGCTCAGGCTGGCTGGGAGTTCACTGCCTCCTGGTCCCAGCCCAGCCGCCTGCTCTGGTGAGCAGGTGGGGCATCTGGAGCTGGACCTGGGAGAACCTACCATCCCCCCTTTGCCCTCTCACCCTCACATTGGTGTCCACCTTCTCCAAGGCCACCTGGAAATTTTCATCCCTGACTAGAGAGTGAGAAAAGAGGAGGGGAGAGAAGAGGGAGAGGGAAGAAATGTGAGGGAGGCAGGGCTTCAGGGGGCTCCTGTGCCCCAACGTGCCCTGCGGGGTCAGCCTGTACAGGACCTGGCCTTCCCCAGGAGGGGCACGGGGAAGAGGCGATGCCAGAGCCCTGGCACGAGGTAAGTGTCTGTCCTGTTCAGGGAAGGTCAGCCGGTATTGCCCAGGCTGCCGTGATGCCCAGGGAAACCCCTGCCCCACTTGCCCAGGAGGCAGGACTCACAAGGTCAGCCATCCTGGAAGCCCAAGTTGGAAAAAGTCCCTGCAGTGTCCTCGTCCCAGATCTCAAACCACTTCTTGTCATCGTCCAAGGACCTGGGTGGGGGCACCGCGGCGTCAGGGCAGGGCCTCCGCGTCTGTGACCCTTGGGCGGCCCTCACCCCTACTCCCAGGGTGACCGGGCTCCGCCTAGGCCGCCCCTCCTCTGCCAGTGCCTGAAGAAGAGGGTCAGCTCCACCATCAGCAGCGCCCAGGCCCCCGCCAGGCCTCCGACCAGCGCCCTCCACTGGACGGCCACCTCGCAGAACCAGTGCGTGTCTGTGGAGAAGCAGCTGGGGAGGGGGTTACAGGTCACAGACCCTGCCACCTCCCCTACCCAGCCCTGTCAACTCGCTCAACTGGACTCAGACAGGGCTGGCAGCGGGGCGGGGCTCCCCATAGGGCGAGTCCGCGGGGCTCCCAAGTGTGGGCAGGGCCTCACCTGCACTCGGGACCGCTCTTCTGCACAAAGCACTGGCCCAGGTTATAGTCAATGGCTCCTTCCACATCTGATGTGCAGTTGGTGACAGAGCGAAGCCGCTTCTCCTCCAAGGGGAAGTAATAATCCTCACAGCCCTCGACAGCAGCACGACGGCTGATGGCTGTGGGGAGGAGAGGGGGTTGCAGAGAGACTACCCAGGAGCCTGGTTATGGGGATTCTGAAAATGGATGGGGAGGACTCCATTTCCGAGGGTGGGGTGTTGTGGGGTAGACCATGGGATCTGAAGTGGGCAAGGCAGGCCCCCAGGACTCTCACCGTCTCCTCACCCTGCCTCCCAGTGCTCAGGTGGAAGCTGATAATAAGGGCCAGGAAGACATCACTTGCCTCCCCAAAGGTTCTCCCCTCCTCCCCAGAGAATTTCAGTGAGCAGATGTCCCTGGGGAGAGGGGTCATGGCCCCCTGGGGCCACTCACTCCTTTGTCCCCCATTCACCTTGCTGGATCAGCTCCGTTCTGGTGTCCTTTCTCACAGTGATGCAGTCAGGCTTAAAACACAGGTCTGGGGCACAGAGGCACAGGTGGAATTGGGGTGGGTCAAGGGGTCCGGGCCAGGGAAGCAGGGCAGGCATGGGGGAGGGCAGAAAGGGCTCATCTTCCCCAAATAATCAGGGGTCCTCAGCCATCCTGGAGACCTTGAGCAGAATGTCAGGGGGGCTCTTCCCCAGCACCCAGGTTCTGACAAACCCCTCCTTAGCCCCATCCTAGACCCAGTTGGCTGTGAACCTGTGCCTCTTCTCCCAACCTGCCAGAGGTACCACAGGGCTGCCACCTGAGCCCAGGAGGCCCCTGTCTGAGCTGGAGTAAGCTGGGATGTTGGCTGTGACCATGACCCCTCCCTCCAGCCCAAGGCCCCCAGCCTTGGCTCACTCTGGTTTTTCTGGCAGCTGTCCACATCCTGGCTGACATTCTGAAGCTCACCTTTCAGGACCGTCTTCACCATCTCATAGTTTGTCTCCAACTGGGAGCTGAAGGGCAACTCCAGCAGGACCACATAGTCCACCACGATGCTGCCATTCGTGAAGGGGTCAAGAAGTTAGGGGCCTTACAGGCCTCCCAGGCCTGGGGCACAGAGGTTCTAGAAGGGCCAACCATAGGTGCGCAGGTGTAGAGGGGAAGGGGGCAAAGGCAATGAGTTGGGATTCCAGGCATGTTATTTTCAGAAGGGGCTGCCAGCATCCCTGACGTCGTCAGCCTGGGAAGGCAGGACTAGGAATGATTGGCATTCCTTTGCATTGCCTCAAGCCATTACCAAACCAGGCCCTCCTGGGTTCTCTGCCTCGCTCATGCTGACCCACTCAGCAGACCAGGTGCCAGCCAGAATGAGACCAGCTACAGTCCAGACACCAGACTTCCCTCCAGCCCTCAGGTACCACTTCCCTACATGTTCCATGCAATCTCTCTCCTTCCGACTTGCTTAGAGAGGAGGGGTGGTGCCCTCCTTCAGAGAAATGGCTCCAGAAAGTGATCACTAAAGTCCCCACACTCCCTCCACCCCTCCCTTTATGAAGTCTGATGATTCCAAAACCAAGGGATGGCTTCTCCAGCCTTTCTTTATGCCCCCTTCCCCCACCTCACTCTGTCTCCACAGCCTCAGAAGGGTCTCCTACCTCAGAGACAGGATCTCCACATCCTTGAACCCCTGCACCTTTTGGTAAATCTTCTGCATCTGAAATGTGAAAAATTGCTGGCTCACGTCTGAACCTCCAGAGCTGAGGGCAACCAGGGGAGGACCTTTGAGTTCCCTACCCCTTCGCCCTCACCTGACTGCGGAAGATGTTGCTGAAATCCTTGTAGGCCTTGGAAGTGTTGTCATGGAGATCCGGGAAGAACTCCTGGTCAACAGCCACCTCCATGCCCACTTCAGCGTCCACAGTTTCTGCACACGGCATGCCCTGCTCTGGTCACTTCACCATCCTTCCTGTCTGACATCACCCCCACCACCCTGACCTGAAGGCTCCTTCCATGCACCCTCTCCGTGTTCCCAAGGACTGATTGAAGAGCAGGAGGGAGAAAGGTAGGAATTCTGGGATGACTTGTCCCGAGAAGAGGGAAAGAATGGAAGTCAGGGTGCTCTCGTTGTCTGCCGCAGTGGGAGGCGAATAATGGCCCCCACCGATACCTAGGTCCCTCTCCCCAGAACCTGTGAATATGTTCTGCTAGATACGGGAGGAATCAAGGTTCAGGTGGAATGAAGATTGCTGATCGGCTGACGTTAATTTGGGAAAATTAATGTGGACTATGGGCAAATGAATGTCCACCCAGGTGGACCCAATGTAATCACGAGGGTCCTTAACAGTGGAAGACAGAGGCAAAAAGAGTCAGAATGAGTCAGGTGAAGACATGACTAGAAGAGAAAGGCACAGAGATGCAATGCTGCTGGCTTTGAAGAAGGAGAGAGGGGAGCTTGAGACAAGGAAGGTGGGAGGCACCAGAGCCTGGAAAGGGCACAGAAATGGATTCTTTCCCAGAGACTCCAGAAAGGAGCACAGCCCTGCTGACACCTTGATTTAGCCCAGCAAGACCATGTCAGATTCTAATCTGGAGAACTGTAAGATGAGACATTTGTGTTGTTACAGTTGTGAAGTTTGTGGTAATTTGTGACAGCAGCAATTAAAAACAATTACAGCTCCAAGCAACCCTGACCAGGAGTGTGGCCCCAGCCGCGTGTGAAGGTGATGGTGGAGAGGGGGTGTGGGGTAGCAGAGGGCATGAGAGCGAAGACAGGAATGGAGGATGTGGGCACTATGGCATGGGTGCCTCCACACGGACCACAGGGCTGGGCCCAGGGAGAGTCAGTGACAGCCAGGAGACAGTGCAGAGGACAGGGCCCCGGAAACTCACCCAAATCCATCTGTTCCACGGCAAACTCGCAGTGGAATCCATAGAAGGTGCTGGGGCAGACACTCCTGAGGCCATCCCATTGACCCTCGTACTGTCACATGCTGCCCTGGCGCTGACAGCAGTTCCAGAGAACCCCAGGGGTCAGAGGCAGCAGTCCTGAATCCATGTGCCATCATTCTCACAGGTGCCTTGGCAGCATGAGAAGAAAGGGAAGTTCACGATAGGGCCTGACCTTGATGACACAGGAATTTAGCAGGAGAGGGAACATGGAGGTAGGAGGTCCAACCTGGGGTGGTGTTCACCTGAGCAGTGCTCGAAGTTGTGGTCATCTGAGTAGTGGTGGAAGCTGTACTTGGTGATCTAAGGGTGGTAGCAGTTTGAGGGGTGGTTGCCAGTGTTCTTGGAGTCTGGGTAGTGGGTGAGGTGGAGCCAGTCAAGTTGCTTGAAGAGGTCACAGCAGTTGGAACGCTGCTGCTTGGTTTGGTGGTCTGTGGGAGGCTAGTGAAGCCGGACGTACTTGCATGGTCACAGAGTTGGTGCTCATCCAAGTCCCAGCAGGGGGTCTTTGTGTGCTTGTCAAAACTGTGTTGACGGGGACAGTCCCAGTGCTGATAGAACTAGGAGCATCACTTATGAGGTTGGTGGGACCAGTTTCGAGAACTGAAGTAGAAGTGTTCAGAGGTGTAGGAAAGACAGTAGTCATACTGGTGGGTCCAGGAAGGGTGACCTTCTCAGTGGTAGAGGAATGACTGATAATGAGATGGTGGGCGTAAAGGTAACTTCATGAGTTGGATCCATTTCCACACATGGAGTAGTGGAAGAAGCAGGCACTGTCGTAACTGATATACTTTCTGGACATGGGGCGGTGGAAGAACTAAAGATAGTAGGAGTGATGGTTGTTTCGGTAAGAATAGGGATCACAGGAGTCTGGGGTGTAGAAAAGCTTGTAGTAGCAGACAAAGAGGGAGTAGAAAAAGTGGTGACGGGAGAAGACCTTGTATTTTCTGTACTGGAGATGGGCAGGGGATGGAGGAAGAGAGCTAGGGGTGAACTCTGAACTTACTCTGCTGGAAGACAGAGTAGAGGATGTTTTTGCTGTGCAGGCAGAAGAAAGGATGATGGTACTGAAGGGGTACTTATGGCATTTGTATGTGTATTCAAAGCAGAGGAGGATGGTGTGGGAGAAACACTAGAAGGAATCTGTGGTATTGTCGAGGTGGCTGTTGTTAGAACGTGTACAGTAGCAGTAGTGTCTAAGTCTGTAGTTGAGGCACTGGCAGAATTACCAGTGACCAAGGTGGCAGGGGGTGAGGTGTCAGTGGGAGTGCTACTTCCAGTTATGGCCAGGGTGACAGAGGTAGTGGGAGATGTCAGGGGGGATGTGGCATGGGTTGTGGGCAGTGTAGTAACAAGGGTGGATGGACGGATATTGCTGGTGGTCAAAGGGAAGTCTGGTTCTGTGGTTGGGGGAGGTGGAGATGATATAAGCACACTCATGGGTGGTGTCAGGATGTTGATGATCATGGGGGTAGAGGTGGTGGATGTTGGTGAAGAGACGACATTCGTGGGAGTGACTGATGACGTAAACGGGGGAAGAGCAGTGGTGCCTGTATTGGGAGCTTGTGTGAGAAGGTCACTGGTGGGCATAAGGGTGATTTTCCTGGTGGTTGTGGCATGAGCGGTTGTGTAGGTCGTCTTGGCTGTTTGCATCGTGGGTGGAGTGGAGGAGGGTGATCCCATGGTTGTTGAGGTTGTGAACGTATGGGTCATAGTGTGTACCGGCGTTGATCCTGTGGTTGTACGCAGTGTAATTGTGCTACTTGCAGATGAGGTGATATCTTCCATAGCGTTATCCCCGGACTAAGGGTAGATGTGGAAGAGGAGCCTGCAGATGTACCTGGAACACTTCTTGAGAGGGAGGGAGATGGAGTGGGATGTGTGCTCGTGAGCATAGGTGATATGCTAGGTGTTGTGTCAGACGTGATGGTGACACTGAAGGTCGTTTCTGTACTGTGTGAGGTGGAGGATGAATGGACAGTGGAAGTGGGTGACGTCAACATATTGGAGAAAGTGAATGTAGAGGTGAGGTCACTTACGGTGGTCCAGGAGCCAGTAGTGCCCAGAGACATGGGGGTGATGGTGGTCATTGTTGTTGTTGGGATACCAGTGCTAACAGAAGATATGGTTGTGCTTGTGGGTTTGTGTTTGGTATCAGAGAGAGGGCACGATGGGGTTACCGCAGATGTGGTTGTGTTTCCTGTGGACGGGAGGTTTGAAGAAGTGGCCTCTGAGGTAGTGGGTAGTGTTGTCAGGGTGAGTGTTTTTACAATGTGTGAGGTAGAAGTCATGGCCGTGTCCACAGCTGAGGAAGTGGGGGAAGTGACTGTGATTGATTTGGCAGGGGTCGAAGTGTCAGTGGGAGTGGTGCTTTCAGTTGTGCTCCATGTGACAGTGGTAGTGGGAGATGTCAGGGTGGATGTGGTGTGGCATGGAGGCAGTGTGGTAACCAGGGTGGATGGAGAGGTAGTGATGGTGGTCAACGTGGAGACTGGTTCTGTGGTTGGGGCAGGCAGAGTTGACAAAAGTGCACTCGTGGGTGGTGTGCACATGTTGGTGGTCACCAGAGTAGAGGTGGTGGATGTTGGGGAAGAGACGACAATCATGAGAGTGATGGATGACGTTACAGGGGAGGTGTAGTGGTGCCTCTGGTGAGAGCTTGTGTACGAAGGTCACTGGTAGGCATAAGCGTGGTTTTCTTGGTGGAGGTGGCATGATCGGTTGTATTGGTCATCTTGCCTGTTTGAGTCATGGCTGCAGCGGAGGAGGGCATTACCCTGGCCGTGGAAATAGTATAGGGGGTTCCGGGGTGGATCCTGTGGGTATAGGCAGTGTAATTGTGCTGCTTGCAGATGAGGTGGTACCTTCTGTCTGCCTTGTCCTTGGACTACTGGGAAATGAGGAAGAGGATCCTGCAGATGTACCTGGAACACATGTTGAGAGGGAGAGAGATGGAGTGGGATGCGTGCAAGTGAGCATAGGCGACATGCTAGGTGTCACGGCAGAGGTTGTGGTGACACTGAAGGTCATTTCTGTATTGTGGGAGGTGAGGGATGAAAGGACAGTGGAAGTGGGTGATGCCGATGTGCTGGAGGCTGTGAATGTGGAGGTGAATGTGGTTGTAATGGTCAAGAAGCCAGGGAACCGGCCTTGTGGCAGAGTGGTTAAGTTCGCATGCTTCGATGCAGCGGCCTGGTGTTTCGCTGGTTCGAATCCTGGGCGCAAGCATGGCACTGCTCATCTGGCCATGCTGAGGTGGCATCCCACATGCCACAACTAGAAGGACCCACAACTAAGAATATACAACTATGTACCAGGGGGCTTTGGGAAGAAAAAGGAAAAAAATAAAATCTTTTTAAAAAAATTAAAAATTAAAAAAAAAAAGCCAGTGGTGCCCACAGACATGGAGCTGATGGTTGTCAGTGTTGTGGTTGGGATACCTGTACTAAAAGAAGATGGGCTGGTGACTGGGGATGTCAGTTTGGTATCAGAGGTAGGGTGCGAAGGTGTTACTGCAGACGTGGTTGTGATTCCTGTGGATCGGGTGGTTTGAAGACGTGGTCTCTGAAGTGGTGTATAGTGTTGTCAGGATGAGAGTTGGTACCATGTCTGAAGTAGAAGTCGTCGCCGTGTCAGGAGCAGAGGGAGTGGGGGAAGTGACTGTGATTGAGGTGGCAGGGGTCAAAGTGTCAGGAAGAGTGGTGCTTTCACTTGTGGCCCGGGTGACAGTGGTATTGGGAGATCTCAGAGTGGATATGGCATGGGTTGGAGGCAATGTGGTAACCAGGGTGGGTGGAGGGGTAGTGATGGTGGTGAAAGTGGAGACAGGTTGTGTGGTTGAGGCAGGCGGAGATGAGTGAAGCACACTTGTGGGTGATGTCAGGATGTTGGTGGTCACTGGGGTAGAGGTGGTGGATGCGGGAGAAGAGACGACATTCGTGGGTGTGATGGATGATGTGATAGGGGGAGGTGCAGTGGTGCCTCTGGTGGGAGCCTGTGTAGGAAGGTCACTGGTAGGCATAAGGGTGGTTTTCTCGGTGGCGGTGGCTTGAGCAGTTGTATCGATCATCTTGCCTGTTTGAGTCATGGCTGCAGAGGAGGCAGGTGGTACCCAGGTGATGTAAGTCATATACGTATGGGTGACAGCGGGTTCCAGAGTGGATCCTGCTATTGCAGGCAGTGTAATTGTGATGGTTTCAGATGAGGCGCTACCCTCTGTCCGTCTCGTTCCTGGACTGCTGTCCTACGTGGAAGAGGAACCTCAGGATGTCCCTGGAACACTGGCTGAGAGGAAGGGAGATGGAGTGGGATGCGTGCTCGTGAGCATAGGCGACAGACTAGGTGTCCTGGCAGAGGTTGTGGTGACACTGAAGGTCGTTTCTGTATTGTGTGAGGTGGAGGATGAAGGGACAGTGGAAGTGGGTGATGCCGATGGGCTGGAGGCAGTGAATGTGGAGGTGAGGTCAGTTGTGGAGCTCAAGGTGCCAGTGGTGCCCACAGACTTGGTGGTGATGGTTGTTCAGTGTTGTGGTTTGGATACCTGTACTAATAGAAGACCACCGGTGTTGTGACTGTGGATGTCTGTTTTGTATCGGTGGTAGGACATGAAGGGGTTATGGCTGACTTGGTTGTGCTTCCTGTGGATTGGAGGTTTGAAGAGTGCTCTCTGAATTAGTGTATAGTGTTGTCAGGGTGGGTGTTGTTACCCTGTCTGAGGTAGAAGTCGTGGCCGTGTCAGGAGCTGAGGGAGTGGGGAAAGTGACTGTCATCGAGATGGCATGGGTCAAAGTGTGAGTGGGAGTGGGGCTTTTAGTTGTGGCCCGGGTGACAGTGGTAGTGGGAGATGTCAGGGTGGACTTGGCATGGGTTGGAGGCAGTGTGGTAACCAGGGTGGATGGAGGGATAGTGATGGTGGTGACACTGGAGGCAGGTTCTGTGGTTGAGGCAGGCGGAGATGAGTGAAGCACACTCGTGGGTGATGTCCCAATATTGGTGATCACTGGGGTAAAGGTGGTGGATTTCGGAGTAGAGGTGACATTCATGGGAGTGATGGATGATGTGATTGGGGGAGGTGCAGTGGTGCCTGTGGTGGGAGCCTTTGTAGGAAGGTCACTGGTGGACATAAGGGTGATTTTCCTGGTGGTTGTAGCATGAGTGGTTGTGTCAGTTGTCTTGGCTGTTTGCATCTTGCCTGCAGTGAAGGAAAGTGGTCCCATGGTGGTGGAGGTCGTGGATGTATGGGTGGTAGAGTGTTCTGGGTGGATCCTGTGGCTGTGGGCAGTGTAGTCATGCTCCTTAGAGATGAGGTGCTACCCTCTGTCCGCCTCGTCCGTGGACTGCTGGCAGCAGTGGAAGAGGAGACTGCAAATTTACCTGGAACACTGGTTGAGAGGAAGGAGATGGAGTGGGACGTGTGCTCGTGAGCATAGGTGACATGCTAGGTGTCATGGCAAGGTTGTGGTGACACTGAAGGCAGTTTTGGGTGCTTCTGCCCTGGAGGAAAGCTCAGTAGAGGTGGCTGTGGCCATGGGTAAAGTGCCTGTATTGGTGGTAGAAGAGAGGAATTCATTTGTAGGTCATTTTGTCACCATAACACCACAAAGGTTATTCCCATGCGATTTTCCAGATACGTATCACAAAAGGTAGGAATTTCCATCACTTATTCCCCATCACAGGCAGTTTCGTTTTGGGGTCTTTCAGGTTCTGAAGGCCAACATCTGTCCACTCCTCGAGGCAGTCTCTCCAAGGGGAGCGGTGGTGCCTCAGTCCCTTGCGCACTTTGTCTGAGTGACCCACCTTCCAGCCCCAAGATGGCCTGGGCTGAGCATGTGGGTTCAGCTGAGGCTTCTGCCCCCTCCGCTCGCCACCCCATCCCTTGCTCCTGGCACACGTGCTCTTCCCTTCCCCTGCTCCCTGCCCTCTCCTCCACCAGCTGCCCAAAGTCGTTGCTCTGCTGGCTCTCTGCCCACACCCTTTGGCCCACCTCTGCCCCCCTCCCTCTGACCCTTGCTGTCTGGGCTGACACTCCTCATCAATGAGAGAACCCACCTAAGGCTGGGCTGGGGGTGGGGACACATCATGGACCCCGGGAGACTAGGGGTCAGACTGGGAAACTGGCATATAGAACGGCAAAGGGAAAAACAGAGATTGAAGCCCAGACTCTACTGAGACTGGGGACAAGGAGAGAGGACCACAGTGACAGGCTGAGGGACAGGACAGACAAGGAAACTTCCAGAAAGAGGTGCCTCGGCAGGCAGGCATGAATCCCATAAGGTTTAGCAATATTAATAATAAAAATAGACATATTTTCGGGACTGGCCCCATGGCCGAGTGGTTAAGTTCGCGCGCTCCGCTGCAGGCGGCCCAGTGTTTCGTTGGTTCGAATCCTGGGCGCGGACATGGCACTGCTCATTAAACCACGCTGGGGCGGCGTCCCACGTGCCACAACTAGAAAGACACACAACAAAGAATATACAACTATGTACTGGGGAGCTTTGGGGAGACAAAGGAAAAAATAAAATCTTAAAAAAAAAATAGACAAATTTTCTATCACCTACTCTGTTTCATCCACAGGGTTATTAGTTTAGAGATAGGCATCTGTTGCTCTGTAGATATATTACAGGTGGTAAGAGTGAGGGTTGGAGATCTTGGAACGTGGGGAGGGAGTGGCAGGGATGACTCGGGAGCCACAGCGGTTGTAAGCAGGGAGCCCCGACACCTCCTGCCCACTCAGTGTCAGCCTCCTCCTCACCTGGACCCAGCACCTCTTCGCTCTGATTGCTGGGGTTTCACTTCCCAGCCAGGGTGGGGGTGTTATGGAAGTGGAGGGGCGGAGATTATGAAGATGACTGGGCAAGAACCCTTGGAGCCAGGAGGTGGCCCTGGAGGCAAGTGAGAGGGTGGACCGTGGGCCTCTGGGTTTGGAAGGTCTAGGATTGGGGGTCAGGAGCAGACATGTATAGGCAGAGGGAAGGTGAGTGAAAAGGAATTGCAGGGTTTCGAAGGGGCAGGAGAGAGAAGGCCTGGGAACCCACACCCACTGGGTGGTCTCAGATCCACCCTTTTGGAGTAATCCGGATGTCCCCACCCC